TGGTTTTCCTACGTCCATAAGTATTATTGTCCGTAATTATAAGTCCGTAAGTATTATTGTCTTTTAACCAGCAATTCTAAGAAATTGTACATACTGTAATAATTATCAGTTTTTTTAAGTCCTTAAAATTCAAGAGCAAATGGTCTTTTGTTAGACACTAAATATGGTATATATAGGCTACCACTGACCTCTTGTAACTCAGTTATCTTTTCTGTAGAAGATAAATGATAATATAACTGGTGCAATAATCATTGCTTTAGAAAATGATGCTATTGAGAAGAGATGAATAGAATTTGACTCATTGATGAAATATTAGTAGGGACAATATATTTTTCTAGTAATATTGTTTTAGTGATATTTAGTGATATTAAATTTGTGCTTACACTTTACAAAAATTGTTTTAAATGCTTATTTATTTTTGAGAGAGAGAGAGAGAGAGAGAGAGCACAAGCATGAGTGGGGAAGGGGCAGAGAGAGGGAGACACAGATTCTGAAGCAGGCTCCAGGCTCTGAGCTGTCAGCACCAGAGCCCAAGGTGGGACTCGAACTCACGGACCGTGAGATCATAACCTGAGCCAAAGTTGGACACTCAACCAGTCGAGCCACCCAGGCGTGCCTTGTGCTTCCAATTTGACCAGTTTAAAAATATTTTCCATGGCCTCCAGTTCAAAACAAAGTATTGACCATACATACATACATCTGCCCTCTCCTGAGATTCTGGATTAGAACAGTAAAAGACATCAAAATAGAATAAATTAATAAAGGCACAAAGAATGGAAAGGGTAGAAAATTGGAAAGGAAATGAGAAGCAGAGAGGATAATGCTATTGGATTAATCAGTGGAGAGAATCAGTGTAGAGAAGGCACAGCACACAGCTCAGTGTAGATGAAATTATTCCTCACGGCAAAACCCAGACAGCACTCTTTTCAGAAAGGACAGTACAGAGTGTAAAGAGAAGTCTAAAGGGAAATAAGTAGCTAGAAGACTTCCTAGGGCATGCTCGTTCAGACTGTTGTCTTGACAACCTCTTACTCCACTCACACGGTAGCATTTGCTACTATATCATGCCAAAATAAACAAAAACAAAAACAAAAACAAATTCTCGTAAAACAATGAGATACAGCGGCACCTGGGTGGCTCAGTCAGTTAAGCCTCCGACTCTCGATTTTGGCTCAGGTCATGATCTCACGGTTCGTGAGTTTGAGCCCCACATCGGGTTCTGTGCTGGCTCTGTGGAGCCTGCTTAGGACTCTCTCTCCCTCCCTCTCTGCCCTTCCCGCTGGCATGCTCTCTCTCTCTCTCTCTCTCTCTGTTTCTCTCTCTCTCTCAAAATAAATAAAGTTTAAAAAAAAAGAAACAATGAGATACATCACCAGAATAATTTAGGGCTTGTCACTTCGAGAGTGGTGGTTGGTGCAATAAGCATGTGTCCCCTTATTTTTATACCGGAATGGGAGAGGGGCACAGTGTGTTGATTTCCACATAGCTTGGCTATTTCCTGTCTTCTTTCTATCTAAAAATTCATGATAGCGAACAAAATACCCCGGAGGGTACAGAAAAGCATCAAGAAGAAAAAATCGATAAATATAAACACCTGGAAGTAATCTGAGACAAAAACACAAAATATTGTCCATCTAGAAAAGATAATGTCTCTCTAACAAATTCCCAGAAGAAGAGAACAGGGGGGAAAGTAGATGTGAAATGATAAAAGAATACATTTAAAAAAATTTCAGGGGCGCAAAAGCAAAACCCCAAACTATGAGTTTCCAGCTTATGCAAGCCTACCAAATTCAGAATAGGACATGCAAATAGATATAGATAGATAGATGATAGATGGATGGGTAGAGATAGATGATAGATAGATGATAGATAGATAGAAGATGAAAGATGGATGGATAGATAGAAATAGGTAGATGATAGGTAGATAGATAGATAGATAGATCCTCATCATATTTTAGGGCACCGTGGGCAAAGACATGACCCTAAAGTTTTACATGAAGAATTGCTTTTCTCCCTAAACAAAGAGAAACATATTGGCACGAGGAGTTTTAAATGTACATAAAAGGACACTGTTGTCGTAATGCCTTCAAAGTTATGAGCTAAATTGATTTTAACCTAACTTTAAAAAAAGAGTAATCAAGCAATATAATTTTTCCATGCATATTTTTAAACAAATAAAGAGGGTGTGTGTGTGTGTGTGTGTGTGTGTGTGTGCGCGCGCGCGTGCTGGTTTTAGACAGACTGAAGCCAGCCCAAGAATGTGGTAAAAAGCCATTTCAAGTTATCAGGTGTTCTAGTTCCTGGAAAGCAATGATTTCAGTCTATACAAAAACAATCTACAAATGATGCTACAAGATACTGAAGGGACTTGATATAGTAAAAGGGAGATGGGGAGGGGGGAGGGTGGTCCGGACGGAGAAGAAATAGCATTAATTAAAAAATTCATTGATAAGAAGAAAATAATTTACAAAAGAGTAATAGATACGAGGTTTAAGAATGCACACAATATTCAGAATTGTGACTGGCATCTAAAGATACGGTTAAAAGCGGGCAAAGACAGGAATGGAGGCAGATTAGAAGAGAGAGTGAATTTTTATTTGCGTGCCTTCGTTTTGTGCTACTGTTTTTATTCTCACATACCTAGATGGCTATTCATTTTCGCATGTTTCTCATTGTATTTTTTTTTCTTTGCACTGAGTACAGAGGAAAAAAAGGATTTCTCCCAGAAAGTAAATATCAGCCGTCTAGCAGGTAATGCTCTCTTTTTTTGTCTGCTCTATGCTTGAATGAAGAGATTCCAACTGGTCACGTGAATTCAGGCAAATTAACCACGAGTCTTCTCAACTTTCAAGTGGGGATATAATACTTAAACCATAGAATATGTAGCGTCGGTTAAACCCACTGTGAGGGTTGAGTGTCATCGCGGCCACACACTGGTACCCGGATGTTTGATCAAAAACTAGCGTAGGTGTTGCCGTGAAATTACTTTTTAGAGGAGATTAGCATATAAATCAGTAGAGTTTGGGCAAAGCAGATTACCATCCACAATGTGCGTGGGCCTTATCCGATCCACTGAAGGCCCTAAGAGGAAAAAATACGAAGGTTCCCCAAAGGAAGAGGGAATTTGACCTCCGGTCTGCTTTTGGACACAAACAGCAATATCGTCTCTTCCCTGGGTCTCCAGCTTGCCAGCCTGTTCTGCACATTAGATGACAAAATCGATTTCATACGATTTTCTGTTATCATATTCTTAGATTCGTTTATGATGCAAAATAAAAGTGGAAGTAGAGACTTGTTATAATGAAGCTCCATAATTCCCTTTCAAACAGCATCAACATTTACTGGCACATAATCAATATTATTTACGTCTCCTCCTGTCATCACTTCTCCAGACCAGATTCCGTTAAAAGCGATTGTCAGATATCATGCCGCTTAATGCTTAAATATATCAATACGTGATTTTTTACCGTTCCCAGCTCCTTTTGCAAAACGCAAACGCGGCATCGCCACACAGCCTGTGCTAGTTTTCTCTGGATGCGTAACAAATTAACACTCGCTTAACAGTTTAAGGCAATAGCTGCTGCTAATTACCTCACACTTTCCAGGGGAGCCTGGGCACGGCTCCACTCAGTCTACTCTTCCGAGTCTCACGGGATACAGTTTAGGTGCTGATGAGATCACACACCTTTCCGGAGCTGAGGTTCCTCTTGTGGACTCACGTGGTTGTTGCGACAATTCGGTTACTTGGAATTGTAGGACTGAGATCACGGCTCTCTCGCTGCCTGTCACCTAGGGCTGCTCTAGTCTCCAAAAGGGCCCCTGCGTTTCCATGCATCGTGTGACTGTTGCACCTGCCCTCAAGACGTGAAAGCGTAATGCTTCGAAGAAAATCGAAATTACCTTTCTCTTTAGAAAAGGCCCAGTCTCCTTCTTGAGCTCTAGTACCTGGTGAAATCAGGTCTATCTAGGGTGGGGGGTGCCTGGGTGGCCCAGCTGGTTGAGCACTCAACTCTGGATTTCCACTCCGGTCATGATCTCAGCATTGTGAGATCAAGCCCCACGTTGGGCTCTGTTGCTGAGCCTGCTTGAGATGGTCTCTCCCTCTCTCTAAAAAAAATAAACACACACACACACACACACACACACACACACAAAACAAAACAAAAAACAGGCCCACATGGGATAATCTCTTCATTTACTCAAAATCAACTGATTGGGGATCCTTCTCTAGTCTTCAAGACTCTTTCATCTTATCCTACGATATAACTTAATCATGGGACTGATATCCGATCATATTCAGAGAGTTGACTCACACCCCAAGAAAGCGAATTTCATACAGCAGGTACGCCAGGAATTTGGGGAGATTTTAAAATTTCCCTAAGAACGTTGGACTTCTGTCTGCCATTAATTCCTAAGACAAAATCATCGATATCTTCTTAAGATCATCTACGATCCAATCATCATTAAATTGTCTTTTTTTTTTTTTTTTTCTTGGGGCGCCTGGGTGGCTCAGTTGGTTAAGCATCAGACTCTTGATTTCGGCTCAGGTCATGGTCTCGTGGTTCATGAGACCCAGTCTCACATCTGGCTCTGCGCTGACAGTGTGGAGTCTGCTTCAGATTCTGTTTCCCTTTCTCTCTGCCCCTCCCCACTCATGCTCTCTCACTCGGAAAAAATAAATAAGCATTTAAAAAATTAAATGCCCCGGGCGCCTGGGTGGCTCAGTCGGTTGAGCGTCCGACTTCAGCTCAGTTCACGATCTCGTGGTCTGTGAGTTCGAGCCCTGTGTCGGGCTCTGGGCTGATGGCTCAGAGCCTGGAGCCTGCTTCCGATTCTGTGTCTCCCTCTCTCTCTGCCCCTCCCCTGTTCATGCTCTGTCTCTCTCTGTCCCAAAAATAAATAAACATTAAAAAAAATTTTTTTTTTAATTAAATGTCTTTTTTTCTTTCATGTGATTTGTTAGAATCAGGCTCAGAACAAAGACCATAATTGGCATTTGATTAAAATGTCTCTTCAGCCACTTAATCTGTAGGTCCTCTTTACCTCCCTTTTATAGTTTCTTGGTCATTTATTTGTTAGAAAAAAAAAACGGATCGTGGTTATGTATCATTTCTCATATTCTGGATTTTTCTGTTCATATGGCCATGGTATTTATTCATATGTTCGTGTCCATTTAACATGTTCCTCTGTCTTATCAAGTAGTTTTAAAAACTAAGTATGGAGGCGCCTGGGTGGCGCAGTCGGTTAAGCGTCCGACTTCAGCCAGGTCACGATCTCGCGGTCCGTGAGTTCGAGCCCCGCGTCAGGCTCTGGGCTGATGGCTCGGAGCCTGGAGCCTGTTTCCGATTCTGTGTCTCCCTCTCTCTCTGCCCCTCCCCCGTTCATGCTCTGTCTCTCTCTGTCCCAAAAATAAATAAACGTTGAAAAAAAAATAAAAAATAAATAAAAATAAAAAAAAAAAACCTAAGTATGTTAGGTGCTTAGAAACCTGCCTGGTCCACTATAGTGACTCTATGTGTCTGTTGTTATTATTATGTAAAGCATCTGATACAGGAATTGATACAAAGTGTCGCTCACTAAATGTTTTACTCCATCTTGATCCCTAGGATATTTCTTCTTGTTTTTTTTTTTTTTTATTATTATCATTTTTAAATGTTTATTTATTTTTGAGACAGAAAGAGACAGAGCATGAACGGGGGAGGGTCAGAGAGAGGGAGACACAGAATCTGAAACAGGCTGTAGCCTCTGAGCTGTCAGCACGGAGCCCGACGCGGGGCTCGAGCTCACGGATGGTGAGATCATGACCTGAGCCGAAGTCGGCCGCTTAACCGACTGAGCCACCCAGACGCCCCTCTTCTTGTTTTAAAAGATGGCACTTGAATCTGAATTAACTGTAAGAACTCTTTTCGACAATTAATATCCACATTTTGCATCATTTTTTTTTTTTTTTGATATTTCAACATTGACACTGATCATTTGGAGCATTTTTAGAGTGTCTTTGTAGTTCTACAGCTGTACTTTATTGACCACTTTGTCAATCGCCAGGTAATGCAATTACTTAGTCCTAATGCCTCTTTCTCAATAATAATAATGAATAGATAGCCCCTTTCAAATCATAAATTGGAAAGGATACTTGAGGTCATTTTATACTTTTTAACACACAACTATGTACTGGTAGAACTGAGTGAGACTCCAGTTATCCTGAGTCTTCAAATATTCTGGCAAAACTGTAATTATTCAGGATTGGCAATACTTGCCCTGGTACAGAATGTATTGAGTTAAGAATATATGTAAAGTTGGGGGCGCCTGGGTGGCGCAGTCGGTTAAGCGTCCGACTTCAGCCAGGTCAACGATCTCGCGGTCCGTGAGTTCGAGCCCCGCGTCAGGCTCTGGGCTGATGGCTCGGAGCCTGGAGCCTGTTTCCGATTCTGTGTCTCCCTCGCTCTCTGCCCCTCCCTCGTTCATGCTCTGTCTCTCTCTGTCGCAAAAATAAATAAACGTTGAAAAAAAAAATTAAAAAAAAAAAAGAATATATGTAAAGTTGTATATATAGAAAACTATTCCTGGATAGTTTTCTTTAAGTCGTATTTCCTGATGTTACTTTTATTTTCCATTTTAGCTGGACAATATACATTCATTTTCCTACAATAATTTTTTAAAAAAGATTTAGGCTTATCTATCACAGACTAAAATATTAGCAATGAAAAATATGACACGCTTTAACGTATGGGCATTTAATTCAGTCATCACCAATCAACAATTAAATCAGCCATTAAATCAAAAGGGTTATACGAGGGTGACCCAGTTGGTTAAGTGGCCAACTTCAGCTCAAGTCATGATCTCTATGTCTGTGAGTTTGAGCCCTGTGTCAGGTTCTGTGCTGACAGTTCAGAGCCTGGAGCCTGCTTCTGATTCTTTGTCTCCCTCTCTGCCCCCTCCCCCACTGGTGCTCTGTCTCTATCTATCTCTCGAAAATAAATATTAAGAAACATTTTTAAGAAGGGTTAGATGATAGGAAAGTCAAAGATAGTCACTTCAACAACCTTCCAGGCAGGTAAATGACAAGGAAGGAGATGTTCACAAATGACTAGGCCATAGGAAGCAGAAATTATGACTGGTTAAAGGCTTTCCTTTTGAGGTGGAAATGCAATTGAACAGTAAAATATAAGTATAATTTGGATGAAGAAGAAGGAAGAGAAAGCTATTTGAGACGAGGGAGACCATGTCCATGAAAAGCACAGGAGGATCAAACTATCCAATGCAATCATGTAAATAATGTCAATAGTAAGTAATCTCATAGAAATGAAATCCAGGTTGTAAGGACGACCTTAAGAAAAAGGAAACAGACCAGACAGTAGAGAGATTTAAACAACAGGCTCTCACTTCTGTTAGTTATCAATAAGCAAAATGTTACATATTGGTGTCTCTAATTGTGGGGATCAGAATTCACATGCTTTTTTCTCCCCAACTCCTCACCCAGTATCCTGCCCCCATTCCAGAAATAGACATATTAATGAATCAATCTCATTCTCGTTCTGTTAATAGAGCTGCCTTTGAATCATACAGGATACTATTCACACTTTATTCAGGGTGGAGTCTAATTTTTTTTCTCTACATTTTCCTTCAGGAAATAATCATGTGTGCCCAAAAGACTGGCTGCTGAACCAAGGGAAATGCTACAGGTTTTCAATGCCTTCCAAAACTTGGAATGAGAGTCAACATGATTGTGCATACCTACAGGCACATTTACCGGTGATCCAAAGTTTGAAAGAGCTGGTGAGGAATCAAAAAACAGGATCTAAGTACCCAAGGAAGACTTTCTAGGTGCAGTTATAAGAAGTGTGGGTGGTTTAGAATCATTGCTTTTGAACGTTCGGTAGCCATGATATAATTACTATTGTTTATTTTAAAAAAAACCCTATCATTTGTGAAATAAATGATTATTTACCATTCCATCAATGCCTGGCACAGTGCCTTAGTCTATAGAGGGCATTGAAATTTTTTTGAATAAATTTATAAATGAATACACCATGTCCTTGATAGGAGTTCATACAGAAGAGTTTAAAACCTGGAAATCCTGCTTGGATTGGACTATATATTGCATCCCCAGGAAAACAATGGATGTGGATAAATAAACACCTTTTTGTGGAAGAAAACAAGTAAGTAATTATTTGGAGGGAAAGAATGATGGTAGTCATGTTGCCTTATTTATAGACAGTTTTTTTTATGTTTTTGTTTTTGTTTTTGAGAGAGCATGCGGGAGCGTGGGGTGCGGGTGGGGGGCGGTTGGGAAGGCAAAAGGGAAAGAATTTTAAACAGGCTCCACTCAGCAAGGACCCCAACATGAGGCTCCATCCGATGAACGTGGGATCATGACCTGAACCGAAATCAAGAGTCAAACACTCAACCAACTGAGCCACACAGACTCCCCTATAGGATAGTATTTTTCAAAGTATTTTTTAAAAATGTTTACTTATTTATTTCGAGGGGGGAGGGGCAGAGAGAGGGGGAGAGAAATAATCCCAAGCAGGCTCTGAGCTCAGTGCAGAGCCTGACCCGGGCTCGATCCCACGAACCCTGAGATCATGATCTGAGCCGAAATCAATAGTTGGAGGCTCAATAGCCTGAGCCACCCAGGGGCCCCTACAAAGGTGGTTTTTTTTTTTAATTTTTTTAAATGTTTATTTATTTTTGAGAGAAAGAGAGAGACACAGAGCACAAGCAGGGAAGGAGCACAGAGAGGGAGACACAGAATCCCAAGCAGGTTTCAGGCACGGAGCTGTCAGCACAGAGCCTGACGCAGGACTTGAACCCATGGGCTGTGAGATATTGACCTGAGCCAAAGTCAGTTGCTCAACAAACTGAGCCACCCGGGTGTCCCAAAGTATTTTTAATAAGCTTCCATACTTTCCAGTCTTCTTTCCTCTTTTCTTCCCCCCTCCCCTTTCCCTTTCCTATCTCTCTTTTTCAGGCCTTTTCTCTTTCTTTTTGCTTCCTTTTTTTTTTTCCTTTAACATGCACTAATGAGAAACAGGGCTAGCAAGTGCTCACGATGACGTCTGGAAATTTTCATGGTCAGGAAATAATAACGACTTTATAATTTTTAAGCCAAGTTAAATCTCATTTAAAATAATTCTTATTGTATATAGTAAATGCGCAGATCAAATGCCCCTATAAATAAAAGCATCCAGAATGTATACAAATGTCTCAGAAGTGAGAAAGTGTGAATTTGAAAGCTTGCTCCCTGCATGTTCTCCCAATTGGTTGACGTCAATGTCTTCATCTGTATGAAAAGAATAGCAAAGCTTCCCTCACAACGTTCTTGTGTGACCAATATAAGGTAATGCATGTAAGGGTTCTTTAAAACTCTCACACATATTTACGCTTTCTCTTGTGAGCCCCTGTTTTCTTTACACATCACTAGAGCACCCGGCTTGTGGCAAGTTTGAAGCAAAGGCCATGGAGCAATAGGCCATTTTGGTCTGGCTATTTATGTACTCCTAGAGACTTCCATTCTCCACAGAGTATCATCTTTCCTGAACATAAAACTAAAGTATGAAGCAGTATTTATTCTTGGGCCCTGCTTTGCTAGCGATCTTAAGACAAAAATTGGTAAGGAATACCTAGACTTTTTATTTTTTTTTCTTTTGGAAACCAACATATTATTGGAGCATGATATAAAGCTTTCATTTAGAGGTGCCTGGGTGGTTCGGTTGGACACTGGTGAAGTGTCCAACTTGATTTCGGCTCAGGTCCTAATCTCAAAGTTGTGAGATCGAGCCCTGGGGACAGACTCCACGCTCAGTGTGGAGTCTACTTAAGATTCTCTCTCTCTCTCTCTCTCTCTCTCTCTCTCTCTCCCTCCCTCTGTTCCTCTCACCTGCTCACACACATGCTCTCCTTCTCTCTAAAATACTTTTAAAAGCTTTCATTTAATTATATAAGGAAAAATTATATGTAGATGGTTATAATAGTGTTTGCTTCTTATTTTTAAACACTAACCAGCAACTAGAAAGTATAGGTAAGGAAATAGTTTTCTCCAAAAATATTCTCTTCACTTATGTTCCTCATCATACTATTGATGGTAAGGAAGAATTTAAGTCATCTAAACAGGTTTTACTTTAACTTAAAAGCCATTTCCCCCGCAGGTTACTGTTTGTAACTCCCATTGGTATAAGATATCTATCACTTTGTAGTCATTTAAAACTTACATTTATCATTATGTAGTCATCATAAAACTTACATTTTAACATCTAATTACCTTTTATAGAAAATTATTTTGCTGTGTGGAGAAGGAATAGATGGGAAGCAAAACTGAAACTGAAGTTCAGTCGGAAGGCTGTGATCAGAGACAAGGGAGAGGCAACCACAGCCTAGGCTGGGAGTGAATGGGTATAAGGACCAATCTCGATGTAGAATACCAGAATTTGCTGGTACATGCAATTTGAAAAGGTGAGAGGGTAGGAAGAGACAGGGATGCTTCTAATCTTTTGGCTTGAGGTTCTGTGGTAATGTTCCTCTGGTAAGAGAGACATCCCAAAAGAGAGGGTGTGGAGGGTATGCAAATCAAGAGTGCCCAAATGCAACCATTGACCACAAAAGAAGGGTCCATTCTAAAACCTCTGGAACATTCCATCTCGGCTGCCTATACAAGTTGGGCTGGAGGAAACGTTAAGAAATGGGAGCACAGGGGCGCCTGGGTG